ACACACATATGGATTTACACACACATATGGACTAGCACACACAACAACAACCGCCATTCACTGGCGGTTGTTGTTGTTATGTGGCGGTGACGTCTCCACGACGCTTGTGCCAGGCTATGTGCACGTTGAGGCCACGTGAAGTGTCGAACGCCCGCTGGCAGGAGGTCACGGGGCAGAACCAGGTGCCATGGGACGACTGAGATCACAGGCTGATGCACCACCTGTGCCCCCTACTGTGCCAACCTGCTGTGCTTTAGCCACCCGACGCGCCACTCGTTGTTGTGAGCGTCGCTCCTCCGCCCTACGTTGTTGTTGGAGGGCGACTGCCTCCAACTGCCCAGTAGCGTCATTCACGAGCCTCCTCCACAGAGGCCGATCTTGACACCGCTGATACCAGTAATGGGCAAGTCCACTCAGCTCCACATCCTCCTGTACCAAATCACTCCATCTCTTCCCTAGCTCGTGCCACGCCCGTTTAGCCCCCTCAATCCGGCCGAACAAAAGCTGTTTAAGCATTCGGTGACTGGGCATGCGGGCTACATGATCCAGCCAACGCAGCCTTGCCTGCCGGAGGAGTTCACCGATGGGACTTAGTCCAGATCTTTCAAGGATTTGTGAGCTCCTCACACAATCCAGCCTGGTTAAACCCAGGATGGATCGTAGGCAGGCCAGCCTAAATGTTTCTAACCGGCAAAGATGTTCCATTAGGGGGGCCCACGTTTCGCAAGCGTGGAGAAGGGAGGGAATGACTGTGGCCGAGAATACCTGAAGCTTAGTGCGGTGCGAAAGACCAAGTAGCTTCCACACAGCGTTACGCAACTGATGAAAAGATAATGCCGCTCGACTGATTCGGAGTGAGACGTCTGCTGTTAAACCAGAGCTGGTCATAAGCACACTGCCCAGGTATGGGAAACTCTCAACTTGCTCCACAACTGCCCTATCACCAATTGGGAGTTGTGTGGGTGGATTGTCCGATGGTACAAAATACCCAGGCAGGTGCTTAGTTTTGGTGAGGCTGATGGTAAGGCCCCACCTCTTAGTGGCAAACTCCAGGTTCAGTAGCAGCGCCTCCAACTCCTCCTTTGAGTGAGCAGCAATTACCAGATCATCGGCATACATAACATGGTTGAGCATTAGGCAGCCATCCCTTGACCGCACCCGGGCATCTATTGAAGGCTTCACGAACTACGTGGTCGAAATAGATGTTAAATAATGTGGGAGCCAGAGGACATCCCTGTCGCACCCCAAGGTGTGCAGGGAATGACTCTGACTCCCGGGCACGTAGTTTTACCTGGGCCTGCTCACCATCATGAAGGTCCTTAATGATCGTGAGCAGAGTGTCAGGGACTCCGAAAGCACGAAGAGCAACCCAGAGCCCAGGCCTACTGATGGTATCATAGGCCTTGACCAGGTCAATAAAGCAGATATGTAGGTCCTGTTGAAATTCCCTACACCTCTTCTGTAGCAGACGGACAGAAAATATGCCATCTGTGCAGGATCGCCCTTTCCTAAAACCGCATTGGGGCTCCGCATGCCTCTCCTCAGCGTGCCTAGCAAGGAGATGTTGAATAATCCTTGCCAGGACCTTTCCCGGCACACTGAGGAGTCAGATGCCCCTGTAGTTGTTACAGTCTGTGCAGTCCCCCTTCTTAAAGAGGGGGACCACCAGGGCATCCTTTCAATCCTGTGGAACCCGTCCAGTGGTTCAGACTCTTGTTATAATGTCATGTAGGGCAGTCTGTGCACAAAGGCCACCCTCCCTCAGCATTTCGCTGGGGGGATCATCTCCGTCCGGTGCCGTTCCTGGTCTCAGACTCGAGATCGCCTTCAATACTTCCTCAATAGATGGCACCTCAGCCAGCCACTCACAGGGGGTGACTTCCTCCTCCAATATTTGAGGCACCGCAGCCTCGGCAGGGTCATCCCCACTTTGTTCCACGTTGTTTTCCAGGCAGAGGGATTACCCCTCCCCCACGACCTCACAGAAATGCTCACCAAATCTGCAAAACTGTTCCTGGGGGTCGAAGATTGGATCACCGTTCTTTTCCCTAATGATGGTAATAGGTGCGGTGCTGCAGGTTACTTTTTGTATGGAATTAAAGAGCGATTTGTGACCGTGGGCCATTGAGGCAGACTCCATCTCCTCAGCAACCCATGACCACCACCCATCCTTGCAGCGCCTTATGGCTCTCCGAACCTCCGAGCGAAGGCTGCGGTAAGCCTCCTCATTCTCCGACGTGGGATGCTGTAGCCGCGAGAGTGGGCCTGTCACTTTTTCTCAACCAGCCTGAAAACCTCCTCTGTCAGCCAGAGTCTCTGGGGAGGTCTAGACCATGTACCCAAAGCAGCTATTGCAGCTGCATGAGCCACAGTCCTAAACCTCGCCCATTTCCCCTAGACATCAGGAGGAGTCGGGGACTATGCCAACCCCAGCCGCAAGCGATGATGACATTCTCGCTTGCAACTTTCATCAGCTAGCTGAGAATATGACACTATGGTTTTGAATGGGGTCATGGGTGCACACCCACCACTGGAGTGGAAGAATGGCGGCGCATCTTACAGATGACAAGTCGATGGTCAGTGGGCAGATCAGCTCCATGGTGTCAAGGACATGGGCCCTCACCGCTGTTCCGTCACTATGTAGTCCAGCAGATGTTTTTGCTTGAACCCGGCATGCATCCATGATGTTGTGTGGATGTGTGGATGCCGGAACAGCGTGTTGGTAATTACAAGCCCATGGGCTGCACAAAAATCTAGCAACCTCCTGCTGTTGTTATTGAGCTGATCTGGCCCATGCCTTCCAATCACTCCAGACCAGGTGCCAGCCTCATGACCAACTCGGGTATTGAAGTCACCCAACAGAATGATTCTATCCCGAGGGGGCACTTTAGCTAGCACCTGTGACAGGAGGTCATAGAAAGCATCTGACTCATTGGCCTTGCCTGCATCCCTCCACGGATGTTCGTCTTCGGTTTGGGCATAAGTTACCACGACCACCACTCCTCGCCTCTGGTTGATGGGAAGGCAGCTTCCCACAACTCACCGCCATGCTCCCACGCCCCCTTCATTCTTTTGTTCAGAAGAAGAGCCACTCCCTGTTGTTTGGCAGCGTATTTTAAGCTGGGTGGGAGGAGACAGCTTTGACGAAGGAGTTTACATATCAACAGAGGAATGCAGCATATTGATGACAAATGCAGAAATTGGGTTAGTCACTCCTTGTGAAAGTCTCAAAGTCATATTATGCTAGTGAATTATGTAGGATTAGCAGTAATAAAGGGAGGGAAATTTAACAAAAAAGAACTGCATATCAAGCTAGTGCATTATGTGGAGAACAAAAAAGCAGTTTCTAAAGAACTGCAAATACCCTACTACCATACAATAAACCGATGTGAAAAAAAATTAAATATAAACTACATCAATATAATAAATGTACTCAATATACTCTCCAATAAGCTGAGCTATTAACATTAAGTAACTGGGTATACACTACACTATATAATGACAAACATATAGTAAACTTATAAAAAAATAACTAAAATATAAACTACATCAATATAATCAAAATCTTTCGTAGTATCCGGGAGGTTTGCAGAGTACTTTGGTATCGGAGAAAACAATATCATGAGAACCCGCTGTGTTGAAACAACGATCAGCTACGACCGAAGAATTCGTTCTGCCGTGTTTCAAATCTGATTTGTGCTGATGGTTCAATGAGCCACTCTGTCTACAGGAAAGCTACCCATACGGATGCTTACCTGAAATCGGATTCCCACCACCATCCATCCCAGAAGAATTCCCTCATCAAGACTCTGCACCATAGAGCCCAATGCATATCCGACCAGGAACACATAGCCAGTGAACTCAAGCACGTACACCAAGCTCTTAAGGCTAATGGTTACTCCGACTACACAATCCGCAAAGCTATCACTCCAACCATGAAGAAGGACCCTCTTGAGGTGCCTTTCAAAACCATCACTTTACCGTACATTGCGGGGATCACAAAAAAGATCTCCAAAATCTTGAATAAACACAAAATCCAGGTCCGATTCAACACATTACATAAAATCCGTGATCTGGTTCCGTCTGTAAAAGATGTGATTCCGGACATACAGTACCCTGGCGTCTACAAACTAAGTTGCCTCTGTGGTAGTAGTTACATTGGAAAAACCAAACGACATGTCTCCGACCGCATTCGTGAACACAAAGCAGACCTAAAACACGGTAGGACCAACACCTCAGCCGTGGAAGATCACTGTTATAACTCAGTAGGCTCACATGACATTGACTTCTCCAAGACAGAGGTTCTTTGCAAGCCATCTGGCTACCATGAGAGATTCGTTCATGAGGCTATCCACATATACAAACACAGAGACAATTTCAACCGAGAAGATGAATCTGGCTTAGCAATCATTGGAAGGATTTGATAAACCTCTACACCGTTCATCATGCTAAGTCGGCCAATCAAATGCTATTTTTTATGCTAATTCCTTTGTCAAGGCACCTTGTTTCCTCGCACACAGCTTAAAGGTCGCGGTCTGAGGGTGGCTGTGTTTCACTCCAGCGCTGTCCTCGAGACAGCCTGGTCCCTTCACCTGATGAAGGCCGCTTGTGTTGTGGCCGAAACGTCGTGATTTTTGTTGTTTTATTTTTTACCTACGTGACTTTACCGAATAGAGTATGGATCGTTGCAGTCACGAAAGCTTTAAATCTAGATTTCTTAATTGATTGTTCACGCTTAAGGTGGCTTTCAGACCGCATCCATTATTTTCGTCTCCCCCCTCCTCTTTTACGAACATAGATGGACTCGTCCATCTGAACAAACTGCCAAATCGCTCTCCGTGGTGCTAACGTTTAAAAAAACCCTCCACTTTTTTCAAAAATGTTTGCTGTGGTTTTCACACCTGATGATGATTGCTTGTGTTGCAGTCGAAACGTCGCGAGAATTATATTGTTTTATATTTTTATTATTTTATTGTTTCCCTTCTACGTGACTTTACCGAAAGAGCCAGGAATACAACACACATTCTCAGCTGTCCTCTCCACGCCCCATCATCACCACCACATCACAGCCAATGGCCAACCCCCTCCTCCTCCATTCTCAAGCTCACAGCCTCCGCACTCAACGCAGCCAAGATCCCATCCAGCGATGCTCCGGCAACATTGAACATCGGGCGAGACTCGAACGCAGATCTCTCTCTCGCAATTTGCATGTCCACATCACATTGACGTTGTGTGCACACACACTCACTCACTCCGCATGTGTGCGCACAGCTAAATGACATCGGGTATCGGCGGTCTTGTTATCGGCCGCGTGCTGCTGTAGCGGCTTCTGCTTCTCATTCTGCCAAGGTGAGAGAGAGACACACAGAGAGAGAGACACAGACAGAGAGAGACACAGAGAGAGACACAGAGAGAGAGAGACAGAGACAGAGAGACACAGAGAGAGAGACAGAGAGAGACACAGAGAGACACAGAGAGACACAGAGAGAGAGACAGAGAGAGAGACACACAGAGAGAGAGACAGAGAGACACAGAGAGAGACACACAGAGAGAGACAGAGAGAGAGACAGAGAGAGAGACACACATACAGTTCTGCGTCGTGTGATTGGAATGTGAATTATGGGGACCTTGCGGATGTGTGTATACGTTTATTATTTCGGGGTTTCGTGTTCCGAATGTAACCCACGTGTGCATGCACTTGATGTGCACGTGTGTGTGTGTATGTATATGCATCGTGTCTACATATACAATGTTGAGTGTACATAGAGTAGTACTATACTATATCACACACGCTTGCAGTAAATACTCACGCGTGCATTTATCTGGGTTGAATGTCTACGTGACAATGTTGCACATAACCCGGTGAACGTAAGAGTACACACACACACACGCTTATATATACTGTATCTTTAAGTGCACGCTTCACTGTGTGATGTTATCAATTCGGTAAACACAGCACACACACACGACATATACAGTACTACACAGTATGGACAGCGACGCGTTTTCTCGTACTGCACGTGCGACCAATTGCGTCAAAACAAATATTGTAAATGTGTCTCTGCTTGAATCCTGTGTACTGCTCCGTTAATGTCTTTGTTTAAACGCTGTGTTCGACGGTGCCCGACAATGTGTGTGTGTGATACACACAATTGTGTGTGTATTCCACACTGTGTGTATGCATCACACACACACACAATTGTATGTGTGTGATGCATGCACTGTGTGTATCCCACACACACACACAATTGTGTATGTGTGATGCATACACTATGTGTATCCCACACATACACACAATTGTGTATGCATCACACACAATTTGTGTATGTGTGTGATGCATACACTGTGTATCCCACACATAAACACTGTATGCATCACACACACACAATTGCGTATGTGTGTGATGCCCACACACACACAATTGTGTATATGTGTGATACACACAGAATTGTGTGTGTGATACACACACACACTGTGTATCCAAAAACGTGGTCCACAATTGTAAACTCCCTTACTGGTGTACAGTGACATCTATGTTTAAACTGCAGCTATGGCCATGTGTCATCGTGTGCTGCTGATACACAACTGCATTTGGTGTTGGTGCACAGAATGCACGCATGCAGCAAGCATTACGTGTCCGTGCTTGTACACGGGAGTGTACGTGTCATTGTGTGTGTACATCCAACAGTAGTGTAATACGTTGCTAATCGCATCGCAATAATTCAGTACGGCATAGTACTACAATTCAAGGGGAATGTACGCACGCGCTACATTGGTCTGCGTGTGTGCAAAGAGCTGCTACGCATATTTTATTGTACAACAATATTCGCGTCATTGTATGTGTCTCTTAACTGCTGCTATGCATTACCGCGTTGCACAATAGCCCTATTGTGCATTTGCATGCATAATTGCACTGAATCGTCAGCACGTATCTTAAATGCCCCTACGCAGATATTGTGTTCAAACCCTATTGCATGTACACACGCACTACACACGCATGCGCGCGTGTGTACACACACAGACTATGTACCGTGTACACACACACACATGCACGCGTGTGTACACACAGACGATGTACCGTGTACACACACATGCACGCGTGTGTACACATAATGTACCGTGTACACACAGACTATGTACCGTGTATACACACACACATGCACGCGTGTGTACACGCAGACTATGTACCGTGTACACACACACACGTGTGTACACGCAGACTATGTACCGTGTACACACACAATGTACCGTGTACACACACACACATGCACGCGTGTGTACACACAGACGATGTACCGTGTACACACACATGCACGCGTGTGTACATACACAGACTACGTACCGTGTACACACACAGACTATGTACCGTGTACACACACAATGTACCATGTACACACACACACATGCATGCGTGTGTACACGCAGACTATGTACCGTGTACACACACACATGCATTCGTGTATACACACAGACTATGTACTGTGTACACACACACACATGCATTCGTGTATACACACGGACTATGTACTGTGTACACACACACGCGCGTGTATACACACGGACTATGTACTGTGTACACACACACACGCGTGTGTACACACAGACTATGTACTGTGTACACACACACACACGCGTGTGTACACACAGACTATGTACCGTGTACACATACACACACACATGCACGCGTGTGCACACACAATGTACCGTGTACACACACAGACTGTGTACCGTGTACACACACAGACTATATACCGTACAAACACACACACACGTGTACACACACACATGCACGCGTGTCCACACACAGACTATGTACCGTGTACACACACACACATGCGCGCGTGTGTACACACAATGTACCGTGTACACACACAGACTATGTACTGTGTACACACACACACATGCACGCGTGCGTACACACATACGATGTACCGTGTACACACACATGCATGCATGTGTACACACACAGACTATGTACCGTGTACACACACAATGTACCGTGTACACACACACATGCGTGTACACACACAGACTATGCACCGTGTACACACACACATGCGTGTACACACATGCACGCGTGTACACACACAATGTACCGTGTACACACACACATGCGTGTACACACACAGACTATGTACCGTGTACACACACACATGCGTGTACACACATGCACGCGTGTACACACACAATGTACCGTGTACACACACACACATGCTCGCGTGTGTAATTCACTGCACGAGTCGTCAATGTGTTGTGTGCCATTACATCGCAGCCACAAAGACAAAGATCTTCCGCGTAGACGTTTGTGGTTGGGGGGGGAGGTGGCAAGTGCTGTGAGCGGGCAGCACCTCCACGGAGACCGGCACGCCACACGAGGGCTTGCGGGGTGTCCAGCAAAACCACGCCCGACCGCCTTTGTTCTCCCCTAGGTACTCATTTGAGGCCGAGTCGACCTAGGGGGGTGGGAATGCCCAGGACCTGTTCAAGGTGTTCGTCTTCCCGGTGTTGTCCGTGAGCGGGAATCGAACTTGGGATCTGCCCGGTTCGAAGCGCGCTCGCAAACCTCCTCCACCTCCCCCCCCCCCCGCACCTCTGCTGGGCTCCACAGCCAAAGGGTGACCACACGCAGCGGGCCATGGCGCAGTCGGTCCGCTTCTCGGTGACCCCGGCCTGCACGGACGACGAGGAGAGAACGAGAGACGACGATGGTGACGGTGACTGCGGCGGTGGTGGTGGCGGTGATGGTGGTGGTGATGGGCACACGGGGTCTGCGGACAGAGGCGAGAGAGGCGACAGGCATCGGCGTCCAAGGACATCGGCCGGCGTGGGTCAGTGACAATTTGTTCGCCGTGTAAATTGCTTCGTGATTTGCTGACGCACGTGCGAGCGAACGCGTGCGTCCGTGCGCATGGTCGCGTCGCCCGCCGCTCAGCAACGACAACAACATACATAGTAGGTTTTTTTTGTTTGCATTTTGACTGCAGGTGTTGTGGTTAATGCAGCAGACTTGAATCCTTGTAAAAAAAAAAGGTTTCAGTTTTGTTGCCAGAAAAAAGGGGAAAAACCCTTATTATTATTATTACATCTGAGGTTGTCTTCGTGAAGCCTCTGCACTTCGCGGTGGTGGGGTAAAGTGTGGATACACCCAACTCTTTGAAAAATAAAATAACAAGAAAATCTGGCCGTTGTGGAAGAGTAGGCCAAATGACACGCTTAGGGGGTTGTCTTTGAGTTTTCTCGAGTGTAGATCCATACATCAGCAGTCTGGGTCTCTATGCGAGTCTAAGGATCTATAATGTCAGTGTGAAGATCTCTATGCGAGTCCAAGGATTTAATATGTAAGTGTGAAGATCTCTGCGAATCTAACGATCTCTATGTCTATGTGAAAGTCTCTATGCGAGTCTAAGGATCTCTATGTCAGTGTGAAGATCTCTATGTGAGTCTAAGGATCTCTATGTCAGTGTGAAGATCTCTATGTGAGTCTAAGGATCTCTATGTCAGTGTGAAGATCTCTATGTGAGTCTAAGGATCTCTATGTCAGTGTGAAGATCTCTATGTGAGTCTAAGGATCTCTATGTCAGTGTGAAGATCTCTATGTGAGTTTAACATGTAGGCTTTCGCGACCAATATTATTCATAATAAAGGTTTTTGGGTTAGATCGCGTTTATTTATAAATGTGTCGTAACCCTCCACCACCCGACACGGCCAATCAGCAAAAAAAGTGTCACGTTGACAAAAGACAAATAATTCACTACTTTAGCCCACCGGTGTGTTGAAGAGTGAATCCACATTTACAGTTTGAGTACGACGTTTCGCTGGTAAATACATCCAGCATCATCGGGCAATTCGCCAGAATGGTAAAGCCCTCGCTTGCTCCCGGTTTTACATAGAGCAGCAGGGTGACGTCATCACTTAACTCATATCAGGTGCAGTGATTAGAGGCGGAGGGGGGGTATTGTAATTATATAATCGATTAGTAATCAGTCATTGGTTATGATTAGTAATGAGTTGTAGATTAGTAATTCTTTAAATCAAAATGTAATGTGTATTATTTAATAATATGCTTCCAGGCCGCACTAAGCCGGTAGCTGTCAGAGCGATTAAAGTTATTCTCGTTCCTCTCAATTTCAATGGATTCTCTAATTAGTCTTTGCCAGTAATAATTAGTTTTACACACCACTGCAACATTGTCAAAATCAATTGAGTGTCCTTGTTGACAAGCATGTTCTGCCACTGCCGACAGTTGTGTTTGAGATAATTTAATATTTCTCTGATGTTCTTTTAGTCTTACGCTGATGTTACGTCCCGTCTGTCCTCTATGTGAGTCTAAGGATCTCTGTAAGTATGAAAGTCTCTATGCGAGTCTAAGGATTTCTATGTAATTGTGAAGGTCCTATGTGAGTCTAAGGATCTCTGTGTCAGTGTGAAGGTCTCTATGGAAGTCTAAGCATCTCTATGTCAGTGCGAGTCTAAGGATCCCTATGTAAAGTCACGTAGGTAAAAAATAAAGCAACAAAAATCACGATGTTTCGGCCACAACACAAGTGGCCTTGATCAGGTGAAGGGACCAGACTGTCTCGAGGACAGCGCTGGAGTGAACACAGCCAAGCTCAGACCACGACCTTTACGCTGTGTGAGAGGAATTAAGGTGCCTTGACAAAGGAATTAGCATAAAAATTAGCATTTAATTGGCGGACTTAGCATGATGAACGGTGTAGAGGGGGTGAACATGTGCAGGCCGGCGAGGGGGGGAGGGGGAGTTTACATATTGATGGTGTGAAAAGGGAATTTTAAGAAGCTGCGAAAGTTTGGGGTACCACTACTTGAAAAAATATACTGTAGCATTGAAAATTAGTTTAATGTTTGGTTCGATTTAGAACATCTTTCCAATGGTTGCTTAATTTGAAACCATCTTCTCGGTTGAAATTGTGTCTGTGTTTGTAAATCTGAATTGCCTCGTGAACAAATCTCTGATAAAAACCCGTGGGTTTCCAAAGAACCTTGGTATCGGAGAAAATTATATCGTGATCACCCACAGCGTTGTAACAGTGATCAGCTACGGCAGAAGAATTCGTTCTGCCGTGTTTCAAATCTGATTTGTGCTCGCGAATTTGGTCAGAGACATGTCGCTTCGTCTCCCCGATATAGCAATCACCGCAGGTACAACTCAATTTGTAAACCCCGGGGTACTGTAAGTCAGGAATGACATCCTTCACGGATGGGATCAGATCACGAATTTTGTGTACTGTCTTAGATGTTCTGTTTGAGAGGAGACCTGATGGCTCATTGGGGCATTCTGTCTACAGGAAACCCACCCACACAGATTCCTACTTGAAACCTGATTCCCACCACCACCCAGCTCAAAATAATTCTCTCATCAAAACTTTATACCATAGGGCTCATTGCATTTCGGACCAACACCACCTGACCAGTGAATTAAAACATGTACACCTGGCCCTCAAAAGGAATGGATACTCTGACCGTACCATCCGCCAAGCTGTTTCTCCCTCCATACAGAAACAACCACTTGATACTCCGGTCAAAACCATCACACTACCATATATAGCAGGCGTTACTAAAAAGATTTCCAAAATTCTAAACAAACACAAGATGCAGGTCCGGTTCATTACAGTACACAAAATTCGTGATCTGATCCCATCCGTGAAGGATGTCATTCCTGACTTACAGTACCCCGGGGTTTACAAATTGAGTTGTACCTGCGGTGATTGCTATATCGGGGAGACGAAGCGACATGTCTCTGACCGAATTCACGAGCACAAATCAGATTTGAAACACGGCAGAATGAATTCTTCTGCCATAGCTGATCACTGTTACAACGCTGTGGGTGATCACGATATAATTTTCTCCGATACCAAGGTTCTTTGCAAACCCACGGGTTTTTATCAGAGATTTGTTCACGAGGCAATTCAGATTTACAAACACAGACACAATTTCAACCGAGAAGATGGTTTCAAATTAAGCAACCATTGGAAAGATGTTCTAAATCGAACCAAACATTAAACTAATTTTCAATGGTACAGTATATTTTTTCAAGTAGTGGTACCCCAAACTTTCGCAGCTTCTTAAAATTCCCTTTTCACACCATCAATATGTAAACTCCCCCTCCCCCCCCTCGCCGGCCTGCACATGTTCACCCCCTCTACACCGTTCATCATGCTAAGTCCGCCAATTAAATGCTAATTTTTATGCGAATTCCTTTGTCAAGGCACCTTAATTACTCTCACACAGCTTAAAGGTCGCGGTCTGAGCTTGGCTGTGTTCACTCCTGCGCTGTCCTCGAGACAGTCTGGTCCCTTCCCCTGATGAAGGCCACTTGTGTTGTGGCTGAAACGTCGTGATTTTTGTTGTTTTATTTTTTACCTACGTGACTTTACCGAAAAGAACCAAAGAGTATGGTTCCTTGCAGTCACGAAAGCTTCAAATATAGAATTGATCCCTATGTAAGTGTGAAAGTCTCTATGCAAGTCTAAGGATCTCTATGTCAGTGCAAATCTAAGGATCTCTATGTAAGTGTGAAGGTCATATGTGAGTCTAAGGATCGCTATGTAAGTATGAAAGTTCTATGTGAGTCTATGGATCTCTATGTCAGTGCAAATCTAAGGATCTCTATGTAAGTGTGAAGGTCATATGTGAGTCTCAGGATCTCTATGTAATTGTGAAAGTTCTATGTGAGTCTCGGATTCCTCTGTCAGTGTGAAGTTCTCCGTATAAGTCTGTGACTTCTCTATCTCTATTTGATCCGGGCAAAGTAGTATAGTTAAACAATCCCCACGACCAACAATGGATTGGGGAGGCCTTCATGCCGCAGTGACTTAACTCAAGGGTTTTAAATTCTTAGTTATTTATGAACATTATTCACACACGCTGCGTCATATAGAATCCTTTTTTTTTATTTACATCGAGTAAAATAAATCCTTAATTATAAGCAGATGACAGCCACTTGAGACTTTAGAGCATAGTTCCAAAGGGAGACCTTGACCAAACTGAGAAGAAACTTAACTGCAAAAGATGATGGCAATTATAGATCACAACAATCACGATGAATGCGTGCACCCAGAATGTAATAATGCGTCGATTCATCGGTATTGATTCTTAAATTCGCAACTCATTGCATTGATTTTGCATGTGTGACGTATTTTTGTATCCGTACATGTCGCGTGGAATGGGTCCACCTACGGCCACTAGTGGCTCCTACATTGACCGTAATGTTGAAAAAAGTTAAGTCTTCCTTGAGTCGAATCATGGCAATTCATCGAATTACCGGAATGAACCGTTCACACCACGAGCATGTGGACTCTACCTTGCCCCCTCGCCAGCCTGCACATGTTCACCCACTCCCCACCTTTCATCATGCTAAGTCCGCCTATTAAATGCAAATTTTTATGCTAATTCCTTTGTCAAGGCACCTTCATTACTCTCACACAGCTTAAAGGTCGCGGTCTGAGCTTGGCTGTGTTTCACTCCAGCGCTGTCCTCGAGACAGTGCTGGTCCCTTCACCTGATGAAGGCCACTTGTGTTGTGGCCGAAACGTCGTGATTTTTGTTGTTTTTATTTTTTTACCTACGTGACTTTACCGAATAGAACCAAAAAGTATGGATCCTTGCAGTCACGAAAGCTTCAAATCTAGAAATCAACCGTTAAATCTGTATTTTGAGGTTGAAGACATGCTTTGCTCATCGCTGCTGTTAGCATCATCGCTGTTGAAATCCAGTGTGAAGTACTCAAGGTTCAATTCCACAGGGCTTCACACAGACATTAATTGTAAATGTCATTATACGGCTACATTTAATAGTATTCAGTATTCCT